CATAATTATTATCATTATTATTGCTCTAATTATTGCTATTTATCTGGTTACAGTGAAGAAAACAATACAAATTATAAAAGTTCTCTATAATTTCCTCTAAAAAAATACTTTAAAAAAAGTTTCTCAACACATTGTCTGCCACTGATCGTCAGTTATGAGTTTTCGAACAACTTTAATTCATGCATTAAACACTATATATTTACCTATTGTTTCTCCTCAGAATGAATAATAAGGAAAATGTACCAACCGTTATTGTGCTTCCAATTTTATCTTATAGTAGTTAACATCAACATACGCTGAAGGCTTTTGCAAAATCACATGAGTACACAGTGGGATTCACATCCATAAATAATTTGTTAAAACAAATTTAAAATGTAAATAATTATTCTAATAGCTTTACAGCTTTAAAATAGATAGCCTGAAGATGCAAGCATTATTTTCCCTATGATAAAGATGAAAAGTGATTGTAGCTACCCATTTACATGCATTTTTAATCTTTCTCTAAATATTGAGTTAGTTTTCATTCTTTGGAATTCATCCTATTTTCTCACTTAAATGGATGGATTGATATGCTACAGCGTGGATCGATATATGTTTATACCAGATTCTGTATGTACCGAAAAATGTTTCACTGATGAATTCTTTGTGGACAATCTTGAAAGAATATTAATCATAAAAAATGTTGATAAAGTATTTTAATAATGAGTAAAATAATAAGATTGAACAATTCATCAAGACGGCGTATTCTACCTGCTTATTAATAATTGTATAATAAACTTGAGATAGTTCACTTTAGTCATTAATTGTAAAAGGAATATTTTGACTGTTGATATGATTCAGAATCGGTCGCAACTGTTCAGATAGATTTACTCTTTGTCTATCCTTTGAATGTACTTTTAAATCACCTTATACTTTTAATTCTGTGACTTCTCTTATTCCGTTCAAATTACATTCTCTATGTCAAATCAGATTTCCTATCACTGATACTACAACTCTAGTATTCATCTTGGTAATTTCAGCTCACTGTAGTGATATGCTTTGGCAATGTTATTTTTTGTCCCAGATTTCTATGCTGTTTATGACTGACTGATTGTTAAAATATTATCAATAATATAAAAAATTGCCTTCAAAGTAATACACAGATATATATATATATATATATATATATATATATATATATATATATATATAAGTTTAGGCTTTTATACCTTTCTAAAAGTACATTCAAAGATGTCAGAAATCAACAAGATCCAAGTAGTTGTTCCGACCCATTACATTTGAAACTTCCATCCTAGTCTATCATTATATATATTTCCCATATGATCACATATAACAAGCAGTATCAGTTCTCGCAACACTTCAGGTATGCCTTGCTGATAAATTTCAACTATCACGAAACCTAATTCCAGGGTTTTCTGCCAACTTTCTCCAACCACCTAACATATTAATATAATCACCGCAATGCCCAGTCACTTAGGCTAGTGCTCACATAACAACTTGATCGAACAACTAGACAAACATGATATTAATCGCTGCACAGTGATCAATCGATCGAACTTTTTTTTCATATTCTTCAGTTCATTGACTATACAAGTTATACTATTTCTTTTTTAAAATAAGCTATCCATTTTTAAACCAAGATTAATATATAAACTAGCTCAGTTAACTGAAGTAAACTGTTTGCTGGAGAATCGATTAATCATTGACTTTATCCATCAAGAGAAAAAGTATCGAAAACTGAAAAAAACATTCAGTATGTTTTTTAACAAAGCACATGGTCTCACCATCCATATAATAATAATAATTATATATATATATATATATATATATATATATATATGCGTGTGTGTAATAGTTACCTATCAAGAACGAATTCCCCTCTGTCTTTTAATCGGTATTATATCTGTTTTGTTATTTAGCATTAGCTTTAAAACAATAATCAAATAAAATAGCATTTTCATTTTTTGTAATCCCATACGTCACTTTTTTTTCGTGTAGTCATAGTTTATCCAAAGTTATCTGTCGAATTTATAGAATTCGATAATTACAATTACTTTATCTTGATTAGTCTGCTTTCTCATCGCTTTCTTTGTTATAAAAATATGCGTTTTTCCAGCAAGTACTTCAGTTTTTGTAAACATTTGTATCTGTATACGACTACTTGGTGATAAAAACATATTCCTTAGATTACAATATTTATGGTTGAATCTTATAGCAAAGAAAGTAAAACACGAATTGATTCTGAATAAAAATGAGTTTTATTTGTTGTACAAATGAGATCATAGAATTATTATTAGAAAACAAATCTATTTCATGTTATCAGTTGTATAATATAATCAATCGTCCATCGAGATTCATCTTGAGCTTATATTTTGACTCAGTTTAACAGTGCGCACTGGCCATTTTACCATAAACTATTTTGCATTATTTTGCCAACGATCTTAAATGCATATTGTTTTGGTTGTAAACGATTTATTCGCCTTAAACTTGACTATCGTTTTTGCAACATTAATTCAGATTTATAACTATCGAACCTAATGTACAGTTATTGAAAATGATATTCGTAGTCCAGGTCATGCGTCTTTGTTTAAAATGGTTGTCCAGCTAAGTCAATCTAAGATGTAAGCTATATTTTAATTGAATAATCTTTCTACACCTCCAATGCTAGTAATCTCTTCTCTAGTTTTACAACATTCAACGTGAGAAATAAGTCCACCACATTGTAAACTCCTTTTAGAAAATTATCAAAAGGCTAATATATCAAGATTTTTCATTTCTAATACTGTTTTGAAGAATCGTAACATTCATTATTAATTTGTATTATGTCAATGCTCCTTCAGTATTTCATTTTTAAGATTGTGTTTGCATAATCCATATTGATAAGTCTTGCTAATTGAACGCTAGATTTATTTCCTAGGCTCTTCTAGTAACTCCCAGGATAGAACTACACAGCGACTTTAACACGAGTGAAAAGGCACGAAATCTGTAAGAAACACTTTACTCCAAAGGTTCATTCATGTACAAAAAATATAGGGTTTTTATAGTATTTTAGATGTTCTTGGTTTCCCTGAAAATTCTGGAATGCTACTAAACACAGTAGCAGTGTAGTAATCATGTAATCAGAAACTCAACATGTGACTTTTCACTTTCTTGATGTTTCTGGCAAAACTTCTAGTTAACGCCGATTGGATAAGATGCTACTCAGTGTTTTCAGCGCCTTTCTTGGCTTTTTTTCGAGGAGTTTTCTGGATCTCCCCAACACATACAAACATTCTTACACCTCAATTTGCACTTTACAAAATCACCAGTAGACATTTTAAATTATCCAACAGCATCAAAATTTGCTTTGAATATGACTTTAAAAATGTGCATGATTATTAAATTTCACGTCCCGCGTGCGGGATCGTGGATGCGCACTACTGAGGAGTCCCATACTAGAATGAAATGGCTATCCAGTGCTTCCAGGATTTCAATGGTGTTCTAGCTTAAATCGACTTGTAAATTCAACCATTAGAGGATTGTCACGTTCACCTCGTATCATTACGCCAGCGAACTCTAAAAGTCATGCTTTTTGTTATAAACATCAATTTGATTTTTAGTTACGAATAAGCGAACTGTGTTAAATATGTAAATAGGTGTTCAAGTACGAAGTACCACATGATTTCACGTCGATAATGCAGTCAGTTGATTACTTAGCTGTTAAAAATAAAGCCATGACAGAGGTAACACTGTACATTTTTTGGGTATGTACTTGTGAAATTCTTACTCCTATATTTGCTGTATTCACATATCCTTAATCAATTTTAGTTGACGCAATCTGGTGTTGTCATACAACAGGATAGCTAATCACTCAGGCTTTTTATGATCAGTTATCGACTAATCAATCCGTTATAGGTATCAAGACAAAATGATTTATTTTAGATCGATACCTAATTGTATTTTGGTCTAGAAGGTTGTGTGAATCAGTCATCTACTATGTCAATTTTTTCATAGCGTCCCAGTGTGGTGTGTTACTGATGTCGATAGATATAAGTAGTATATATCATCAGTCGAAAGCGAAATACCTGGAGGCAGAAGGTTAAGAAGATCAAAGAAAAGAGAACGGGAACAAAGAATTATTGGTGTAGAAACGAACGAACACTGAAGTCTGAGACGGTTGATTGACATGTTACAAATGAACTATTTACTGTATGGTTCACAGATTTTACTAAGATGTTCTGTGATTTTGTAATCAAATATTTCCGATTATCCCCACTTGTGTTCTCATACATTGCACCAGTAAACTTAGTTGATACACCTTTATAACTTGATCGTATGGCCACTCTCTCTATACATAATCTAACCATTATTCATACTATGTTTGCAGCGTCACTTCAATGATATAATAATCTTCCTTTATTTTCAGTCTTATACGCTAAAGTATTAACGGTCATGTACAACATTCGTTCTTACTTGAAAAGCAGAAATAGTTACAATTTAAATCATTAGTAACTTACGTATAACTGACTGAATATTTTTCTATTAAAAATATTATGAACTAAGCTGAATATAATATATTCTACGAATAAATATGGAGTGTCTTTAGCACAGTGATGTGGCTCAGAATCGGTATCAATGGAGCAGATACATTCACTTTTTTGTCTTAAAATACTTATATGCTTTATTTCAATAATTTATTTTTTTATCTGGTATCATAATTCGTATCCCCAATCATTATTATTATTACTCATACTGTTAATAATTTCCTTACTGTAGCATTTTTCATCATAATTTCATTTAGCTATGTTGATGTCGTGTGGCAATCTAAATCGATGCACTTGTGTCCCAGGTTCTGTGTGTTTTTTGTCTGACTGACTTTCTTTTATAACTTCCTTTGATGTGCACCAGGACAAAACGCTAATTTGCGCATTAGTAATTTTTTATATTTCAGTGGTCATTATCAATGTTGTTATCTTATCAAATGTTTCCGATTTTCTCGTTCCGTTTTCTTTCAATTCTAGATTTAATTCATTTATAGGCTTTAAAAAGTGAGTGCCATTTTTCTTCGTTTTATTTTTCAATGTTCAGTGATATTCAACCATTTAAATAAAAACCTTTTTTCAAGCTTCATATTTACATTGTGTTAAAACATTAGCCAATATATAAAAAAAACTAGACCACATGGAACATTGTTCCGATCGCCTAATTGTAAAACCTGATGATTCACGGAGATTTATCTCATATAATATGAAATTTGTTTGCATTACATGCATATAAAATATATAATAAAAAAGATACAACTTAACGGATCAAGAATGATGAATTAACATGAAGTTACAAAACGACCATCTGTTTTTTATTACTATATACTTCAACACATAACTTTCCAATTATACTTTCCTGAAACAAGAATAAAACTCAGTATATATCCGTAGACTTAGATTATTCTTTGAAACACACATCGACGATCCAATTCGAATAATAATTGTGAACACGAATAATTCAGTTCAGTAACATTAGTCAATCATCGTACAAAAAGAAACTAAGCGACAACCCGAAAAACTTGATTGTCGAACAAAAATGAAGTTTGATTTATATTGGTGTGAATATTTACCAAACGACGGTGATGTTTATTGCTTGCAAAATAAAAATTAATGTGTTCTAGTAAGCACTATGGAAACAACAAGCATGATTCACAGTTAGGAAAACTGTCATCCATATATGTTGACGAGAACCTCAATTGTATGCTGGGTCCTCGAATTCCTGACAGGCATTTCAGTATCCCGTTGGTTACTGAGGAGCGAAATATGCGAAAACCGTACGTACACAGTATTTTGGACAGTAGGGCCACGAGGAAACTGTAACGACTGATAACTGAAGTCTTACTGAAATGCTCTAAACAACGAAAACGGAGAAGTGTTATAGTCAACCTCATAAAGTAAAGTTTGCATGACATCAGTTCTCCGACAAAGAAATATTAGTTCTGACGACTTCGATAACTACACCTCGTATGTTCGTAGGCAACAATTTTGAGAATAGTTTTGAGAAGTATCCCTACAGTGGTACGAATTACCATTATTATTTCCCAGTCGGAGCCAATAAAAGCGATGGGTAGAACAGTTCACTCAAGAACTGTAATTAATATTCAGGAAGATCCACGTCACATACTTTAAAGAGTATTATTACAGTAAGAATTCCACATCTATTTTACGTATGATAATCATAAAATCAATCGATATATCACCAATTAATTCGTGGTCCACCTAACACTAGTCAACTTTAGAATGTACTGAAATTGATTATATGGATTGAGTAGCGTTATTGCTAAATTATTTTCGACTACGGTTGTTATAGCATGTTGTTCTGAATGAAAGTAACAGGTATGTGAATTCCTATCATTCTATTATCGACGTGATCAAGTTTGTAGTTATTCGAAAGTGTGACTTCCTTTGTAAACGAACTGAAGACTAGGTGATATGCTATGATTCGAAGTGGTTGATATATTGAACTATTTAACAAAACGTATGAACTGACAGAATCATCAATGTTGTTAACGATCAAACAGTGATCATGATGCCTTTAGAATGATCGTTGTGACCATTAAATTAAATAACCGTAAAAATCTCCAAAGAATTAATAAAGTTGAATGGTCGCGACTTCTGACAGATAAGCACATCGACCAACATGCAATAATCTCATAGCGAGGCTAAGCTTATCCAACTTTGTGTGGTTGGAAGCAGAACATATAAACGAACAGTAGCATAAGATTTATTTGATGTCGAATAACACGTGCAATGTAGATTACGAAGAAAGCATATGCATCTGATATGTATATATATTGTGTAGCTCAAGATAATCGGAATGTGTAGTTCTTAACGGTGGGGATTTGTAGCTCAAGTGGATAATTTTGGTTTACAATTGATTGATCACTGGGTGGTAATCAACTTCATAAACGTCAGGTACTTCTTAGTGCAGATCGAATTCTATCAACCAATAATTTTGGTAGGGCTTCATTCTCTGAGCTTGATGGTTTAGTCTATTTTTGTAGACTGACTTTTGGATATTTGTTTCATTGGTGGAGAGCAGTGATAGAGGTTCATTTGCCAGGTTTGATTGGATCGATTTTAATAGGGCTGTTATGACGAAGGATATCACCAGTTCGTCGTTATTGGTTTGAATCTCTCATCTTATCCAAGAATTGTATTGGGGACCTAGCGGGACGACTGGATGAATCAACTGAATGTCTTAATTTTCTTAAAATTTCTCCCGATACATTGTGGTGAGGTTCTGGGGAGTGGGATGTTTGGTTTGTATAGTTTCGGTCTACCATGGAATTAAAGGAGCACTGGCCCATTGTATTTCATTGTTGATTGATCTTGTATTGGTATTTGTCCCGCTTTGATAAGTTTGTTTAATGTCCTGGCGATTTAGTTGTCTACCTTCTTGACTGGAGTTGTGTGTGGTGATTTATATACGCTTTTATCCTGAAGTAGTTGCTCAGGCTTTCCTGATATATTCTTCATTCTCCATACTTACCGTAGAGCGCTTATCTAAATCAGAGATTGAAACTCCAACGAAATGTGTTTATACACCTTCAGAGACACGACTTGAAGTTGTTTTAAATTTCCATTTTCGACATTATTTCATACTTTTGACTCACTGAATAGCTCCCATATGTATCGTTGCTTTAACTCGCGTTGGCATTCTATTTTGTTGATTTTCTTGACAGTGTGATGATATTTTAGCAATAAAATAATGAGTATGGTTACTGAACAGTTAATCGATATAAATGCAACCACGTGATTTGATTGAAGAACATCTGACGTGCATTTACTGATTGATTGAATAGGTTAAACAGTTTATATGAAAACCTATTCGTCAAATCACTATATTACTGAAGTGGGATTTATCTGGAATTCTTCAAAAGGTCAGCGATAGCGTCCATATACAGTAATATTTTCCTCTGGTTTGTAACGCATTTCATTACATTGACATGTGTACTGTCTATTAACACAAAATATTGATACATATCATCTGACTTGATAAGCTCTTTTAGGTCTACTCTGCATAGATCAGTAATAATAACTGAAGATATTACAACAATAAAACGTCTGAATTTTGATATCCAGTATAGAATTTGCTTGAACAAGTTCATCCTAAATGATTTCCAAGTATTTCGATAATTAATATCATGTAACTGGAATTTTTAACTTTGTTATTATCTACTATTGTGTATAATGATTGCCAACTATCTGACTAGTCAACACGTTTATTTAATATTTCTTTACAGATTAATATGCTTTAAAGCTTCATATTTAGTTAGTGCATTTCATAAAGGCTTGCACTTTCCAACTAATTATGACAAACTTATTCCCACTCTTGAAATTAATAAAATCGAACTACAATGGAGTTTAGGAGCTTTATTATATAAATTAAAGTAAGATTATTATTATTATTATTATTATTATTATTATTATTATTATTTTTACATGAGATGGTCGAATAAAATTATGTAAGATAATTTGAGTTAAAGGAACCGGATATTGATTAGCAGATATAATAATTCAATTTAGAAATGTATTACTTCAGTGTGAACCTTAATAAAGCCAATAATGTTATATCAGTATTGCTTATTTCATGGAATAGAAAAAAGTATCATTCTTTTTAGAATTGTAATTATTATTTCTTATGTTGAGCGCTAACACCAAAAATTAATACAAATAATTATAAATGGTAAATAGAAAGGAACTCTTAAAAGGAGTATAGTAGATCTGTAAATGTTTTGTTTAGTGTATCCTTTTCCAAATGAACGACTTTACTGCGGTAGCGATAAATCACCAGGGCAAAATAGCTTACACCTAACGAAAGCATGACGTAAACTAAGACTGACAAACTTTGAACAAAATAGAACTAGCAGTGATGTGAGTTTTCAATCCTCCTTCTGTTCAACTCAGTCATATGCGACACATATGTGCATCGGTCGAAGTGGACAAACCAAATCAGCACAGTTAGATGACATGGTAGTATATGTAGTAATAGTGTAGTGAACGTGAACATAAGTGGGTACAATCGAATGTGTTTGATTACAAAATTACAGAACATCTTAGTAAAATCTGTGAACCATACAGTAAATAGTTCATTTGTAACATGTCAATCAACCGTCTCAGACTTCAGTGTTCGTTCGTTTCTACACCAATAATTCTTTGTTCCCGTTCTCTTTTCTTTGATCTTCTGCCTCCAGGTATTTCACTTTCGACTGATGATATATACTACTTATATCTATCGACATCAGTAACACACACCACGATATTGGTTTAAGAAATATTAGGCACAAAAGATATGATTCGAGAAAATATGAATCTGTGAACTAGAAAATGTAAGGTATTTCGAAACCTTGGATCTAAGAGGGGACAAACAGTGAATGCATCTGTGCTATTGTAATCGATTCTAAGCCATATCCCCAAATTCTCTAACCTTCGATTACGAAAATCGCTCAGAATCCAATCAAGTAGTCTGCATATACTTACACGACCCAGTCTAATATCCAATGATTCAGGAACTAATGCTATGTCTTGAGCTGATTTTCCCTAGTTCCCTCTAAACTCACTCCTAAACCAGTCATCATCGCGGATCGAGTTAGTCGATGGACGTACATACGTAATATATGTCTCAACCACCACGGTCTTCAATGAATCACTATCTCACCAGTCGATTTGACATCTTTATATAATACTCTGAGTCTAACCTCAGCATTACTCAGTCGGTGGTCCCAACGTACACAAAGAATGCTCCGGATACACCAGTGATCAAATACCAATAAAGTTTATTTTTAAAGGCCACGTTTCACAGCCATGAAGCAGAACAGCACGAATTGCTACTCGCCCTTTGGTTGATAGACGGACAACTAGCCAAGTCACAAGCGACGTAGGTCAGAAAAACCCTATCGAGTTCCTTTGATCCATCGCGAGACCGACCCACCATAGTTAATGACGCCTCCGTTATAGGGGAATTGATCGACACCTCAAGCACTTCACTCCCTATCATTAGTTTTATTATTGATGGAGACTAGTTTCCAAAATCTCTCGAATTTTCAATATTTCTTTCTTTGATAAATTTAGAAAGTTATTTATTATTATCTAGCACCACAACCCCTCCCATCTCTTTTATTTTCACTATCCACCACTGCTCACGATCATCACACAAATTTTTTGTTAGTCTATGTTTAATTTGTCTTCGCTCTTCATCGTGTTCTGAGCCGATGGGCTGAGCTTGTTTCCATCTATTAAATCAGTAAATGCTACCGAAACCCACTGTTGCTTCCTAATCTTTTATTTTGAGTTACTAGTAGACATTCATGTTGTTCTTACGAGTATTGGTATATCATATCAGTCTGCATCGGGGTGGTCATCATCTTGTTGACTGACTAACTGCTTCTTTAGCTTTTCCCGGAACATACTGCTAGTCTTTCTATCATTGGGCTGAGTCTTATGGGGTGTTTCTGCTGCGGTCGGTCAAGTTTATAGATACACAGAGGTAAGTCGTACCGGTTCTCCGTATCGACTAGATGAGATAGTGAATAAATCCACTTGCATCTTCTACACAGGTTGCAAAAACGCAACATAAGTTGATGGCTCAAAAACTTATGGTCCTGAATAAGAAAACCTTTTTTTCTATTTCAAATAAGGCTCGGACACCAGAAGATCTGGCACGTAGTTTAGAGATTGGTTCCAAGAGACTCAAATCTTTAGCATTGGCAGGAATTAGTCCTAAAGACAAAGTTATAGAAGAAGGGTTGATGGTTAGGATAGAAAAAAATATTTGAAATTGATGAAGGGATTTGATCATGAATAAGTGAATCTCAAATAAGTCGATATTTCTTCTGGAGGTGCCTGAAAAATAAACTAGATTAGTATTGTTCTTGGTGATCTGGTAACATGACTGCGGATTCCAAAAGACAACCATTTGAGATCAATCACACATGACTTTTATGCGAAACTTCTCGATGCATTATATTTTTACTTTAAAAATCTTATCGTCAGAGACGAAAATCTGACTTTTCCCTTTCGTTTGAAGAAGGCAACATCACTGTTATTAATGGTTATATGAGGGAGAAATATTACCGCCTTCATAACGAAATACAGTTAGCAATACAACCTCACCCGTAGACCTTCAGATGCTGCTTTTATTCGCACCTTTCTGACGTGGTGGTATCCAAATAAACAAGTGTCCCAGACTGCAATATTGCTCGGTTGAGTTATCATGATAGGGGATCTCAAGGAAGCATCTACGGTCAGGTTCTATTCAACCACCGAAATATTCATTGATTAGACTATCGGATACAAGAAGTTGAATTAATAATACTATTTTAAATATTAAATAAAACTTATTTAAAAATAGACAATGCGTCTTCGAAAAAAGTGGTAACTTGGAAAAGTGATACTCGTGCGAACAATTCACAACGTAAATGAAACTGGCGTACCTTAGCAAATACCTATCTAATATTTTTTATAGTGATTTTCTGCCTTTTCTTCGTTAATTATTTTATCAAGGAACGTTTATAAATTCACTGTTTATAATTTGATTCATGTTTCTTCTTTTTTCTAATTCTTTCCTTTTTTTCACAAAAACAAACATTTAGGGCAACTACAATAGACGAAGAAAAAAAACGGGATATTATCGTCTTCACAGTGGTTATTTTTTGTGTTGTAATCGTTTTAATATTAATAGCTATTATACTCTATTTTACAGTAATCAAACGTTTACGAACAAGTAAACAAGCACAAAATGGTTCAATTACAACAGATATGAACAACTTAGAATCGAATGTAAAAAGTAATAATGATACTTTAAATCAATTAAATGATAAAATGCCATGATTTTAAAATAATCATTATTCAAATAATAAACATCCACTTACTAACACTTCATATCATAAGCGCTTGTCATATGTTTACATAATGAGCGCTTTATTTGAACTTATTTTACTCCTATTACAGTTATGTACTCATAATTTTTTTAGACATTAATCTGTTAAAACAAATGAAAGATAAGATTCTATTTTATGGAGGTGGGTGTACGCCCAATTCTTAAATTTGTAATTATTTTCTTTGACCTAATTATTTATTTATTATAATTATTGTTTACTTCGAACTTATCTTTATTTTTGATAATAAAAGCCAAACAAGTTTCTCTTCCGTTATACTTGTATTCTTACCTACCTTACATTAGTCGATCAGCTATAAAACGCGTGTCATTTAGTGGCTTAGTCGAGATATAAGTCACACGGGGTGATATGTACTATGCAATCTTATGAACTTACTGATGCGTATTATTTGTTTGATAATCACTGATTACGGCGTAATGACTTATAGCTGGTTACTGATTGAAAAAGTTCCTCGTAGTTGTAATAGATATTAAGATAAGTATATGTGCATGAAACAACCAGATAGCCTTAAATAAGATATTTTAATATATGAACTTTTGTGTCTGAGTTCAGTGTGTTATGTCACAATCAACTCTACGTACAAACATCTATTCATCAATATACTAATTATTAACAATACTATCAGAAGAGCATTATGTAGATCTCACAAGACATGATTGGTAATCAACACTTGGTAAGATAAAATCTTGATTTAATCTGACGATGGTTTTCATATCCTTATTCAATCAGTCAATAAATGCACGTCAGATAATCTTCAATCAATTAGGTTTTTCTGACCTACGTCGCTTGTGACTTGGCTAGTTGTCCGTCTATCAACCAAAGGGCGAGTAGCAATTCGTGCTGTTCTGCTTCATGGCTGTGAAACGTGGCCTTTAAAAATAAACTTTATTGGTATTTGATCACTGGTGTATCCGGAGCATTCTTTGTGTACGTTGGGACCACCGACTGAGTAATGCTGAGGTTAGACTCAGAGTATTATATAAAGATGTCAAATCGACTGGTGAGATAGTGATTCATTGAAGACCGTGGTGGTTGAGACATATATTACGTATGTACGTCCATCGACTAACTCGATCCGCGATGATGACTGGTTTAGGAGTGAGTTTAGAGGGAACTAGGGAAAATCAGCTCAAGACATAGCATTAGTTCCTGAATCATTGGATATTAGACTGGGTCGTGTAAGTATATGCAGACTACTTGATTGGATTCTGAGCGATTTTCGTAATCGAAGGTTAGAGAATTTGGGGATATGGCTTAGAATCGATTACAATAGCACAGATGCATTCACTGTTTGTCCCCTCTTAGATCCAAGGTTTCGAAATACCTTACATTTTCTAGTTCACAGATTCATATTTTCTCGAATCATATCTTTTGTGCCTAATATTTCTTAAACCAATATCGTGGTGTGTGTTACTGATGTCGATAGATATAAGTAGTATATATCATCAGTCGAAAGTGAAATACCTGGAGGCAGAAGATCAAAGAAAAGAGAACGGGAACAAAGAATTATTGGTGTAGAAACGAACGAACACTGAAGTCTGAGACGGTTGATTGACATGTTACAAATGAACTATTTACTGTATGGTTCACAGATTTTACTAAGATGTTCTGTAATTTTGTAATCAAACACATTCGATTGTACCCACTTATGTTCACGTTCACTACACTATTACTACATATACTACCATGTCATCTAACTGTGCTGATTTGGTTTGTCCACTTCGACCGATGCACATATGTGTCGCATATGACTGAGTTGAACAGAAGGAGGATTGAAAACTCACATCACTGCTAGTTCTATTTTGTTCAAAGTTTGTCAGTCTTAGTTTACGTCATGCTTTCGTTAGGTGTAAGCTATTTTGCCCTGGTGATTTATCGCTACCGCAGTAAAGTCGTTCATTTGGAAAAGGATACACTAAACAAAACATTTACAGATCTACTATACTCCTTTTAAGAGTTCCTTTCTATTTACCATTTATAATTATTTGTATTAATTTTTGGTGTTAGCGCTCAACATAAGAAATAATAATTACAATTCTAAAAAGAATGATACTTTTTTCTATTCCATGAAATAAGCAATACTGATATAACATTATTGGCTTTATTAAGGTTCACACTGAAGTAATACATTTCTAAATTGAATTATTATATCTGCTAATCAATATCCGGTTCCTTTAACTCAAATTATCTTACATAATTTTATTCGACCATCTCATGTAAAAATAATAATAATAATAATAATAATCTTACTTTAATTTATATAATAAAGCTCCTAAACTCCATTGTAGTTCGATTTTATTAATTTCAAGAGTGGGAATAAGTTTGTCATAATTAGTTGGAAAGTGCAAGCCTTTATGAAATGCACTAACTAAATATGAAGCTTTAAAGCATATTAATCTGTAAAGAAATATTAAATAAACGTGTTGACTAGTCAGATAGTTGGCAATCATTATACACAATAGTAGATAATAACAAAGTTAAAAATTCCAGTTACATGATATTAATTATCGAAATACTTGGAAATCATTTAGGATGAACTTGTTCAAGCAAATTCTATACTGGATATCAAAATTCAGACGTTTTATTGTTGTAATATCTTCAGTTATTATTACTGATCTATGCAGAGTAGACCTAAAAGAGCTTATCAAGTCAGATGATACGTATCAATATTTTGTGTTAATAGACAGTACACATGTCAACGTAATGAAATGCGTTACAAACCAGAGGAAAATATTACTGTATATGGACGCTATCGCTGACCTTTTGAAGAATTCCAGATAAATCCCACTTCAGTAATATAGTGATTTGACGAATAGGTTTTCATATAAACTGTTTAACCTATTCAATCAATCAGTAAATGCACGTCAGATGTTCTTCAATCAAATCACGTGGTTGCATTTATATCGATTAACTGTTCAGTAACCATACTCATTATTTTATTGCTAAAATATCATCACACTGTCAAGAAAATCAACAAAATAGAATGCCAACGCGAGTTAAAGCAACGATACATATGGGAGCTATTCAGTGAGTCAAAAGTATGAAATAATGTCGAAAATGGAAATTTAAAACAACTTCAAGTCGTGTCTCTGAAGGTGTATAAACACATTTCGTTGGAGTTTCAATCTCTGATTTAGATAAGCGCTCTACGGTAAGTATGGAGAATGAAGAATATATCAGGAAAGCCTGAGCAACTACTTCAGGATAAAAGCGTATATAAATCACCACACACAACTCCAGTCAAGAAGGTAGACAACTAAATCGCCAGGACATTAAACAAACTTATCAAAGCGGGACAAATACCAATACAAGATCAATCAACAATGAAATACAATGGGCCAGTGCTCCTTTAATTCCATGGTAGACCGAAACTATACAAACCAAACATCCCACTCCCCAGAACCTCACCACAATGTATCGGGAGAAATTTTAAGAAAATTAAGACATTCAGTTGATTCATCCAGTCGTCCCGCTAGGTCCCCAATACAATTCTTGGATAAGATGAGAGATTCAAACCAATAACGACGAACTGGTGATATCCTTCGTCATAACAGCCCTATTAAAATCGATCCAATCAAACCTGGCAAATGAACCTCTATCACTGCTCTCCACCAATGAAACAAATATCCAAAAGTCAGTCTACAAAAATAGACTAAACCATCAAGCTCAGAGAATGAAGCCCTACCAAAATTATTGGTTGATAGAATTCGATCTGCACTAAGAAGTACCTGACGTTTATGAAGTTGATTACCACCCAGTGATCAATCAATTGTAAACCAAAATTATCCACTTGAGCTACAAATCCCCACCGTTAAGAACTACACATTCCGATTATCTTGAGCTACACAATATATATACATATCAGATGCATATGCTTTCTTCGTAATCTACATTGCACGTGTTATTCGACATCAAATAAATCTTATGCTACTGTTCGTTTATATGTTCTGCTTCCAACCACACAAAGTTGGATAAGCTTAGCCTCGCTATGAGATTATTGCATGTTGGTCGATGTGCTTATCTGTCAGAAGTCGCGACCATTCAACTTTATTAATTCTTTGGAGATTTTTACGGTTATTTAATTTAATGGTCACAACGATCATTCTAAAGGCATCATGATCACTGTTTGATCGTTAACAACATTGATGATTCTGTCAGTTCATACGTTTTGTTAAATAGTTCAATATATCAACCACTTCGAATCATAGCATATCACCTAGTCTTCAGTTCGTTTACAAAGGAAGTCACACTTTCGAATAACTACAAACTTGATCACGTCGATAATAGAATGATAGGAATTCACATGCCTGTTACTTTCATTCAGAACAACATGCTATAACAACCGTAGTCGAAAATAATTTAGCAATAACGCTACTCAATCCATATAATCAATTTCAGTACATTCTAAAGTTGACTAGTGTTAGGTGGACCACGAATTAATTGGTGATATATCGACTGATTTTATGATTATCATACGTAAAATAGATGTGGAATTCTTACTGTAATAATACTCTTTAAAGTATGTGACGTGGATCTTCCTGAATATTAATTACAGTTCTTGAGTGAACTGTTCTACCCATCGCTTTTATTGGCTCCGACTGGGAAATAATAATGGTAATTCGTACCACTGTAGGGATACTTCTCAAAACTATTCTCAAAATTGTTGCCTACGAACATACGAGGTGTAGTTATCGAAGTCGTCAGAACTAATATTTCTTTGTCGGAGAACTGATGTCATGCAAACTTTACTTTATGAGGTTGACTATAACACTTCTCCGTTTTCGTTGTTTAGAGCATTTCAGTAAGACTTCAGTTATCAGTCGTTACAGTTTCCTCGTGGCCCTACTGTCCAAAATACTGTGTACGTACGGTTTTCGCATATTTCGCTCCTCAGTAACCAACGGGATACTGAAATGCCTGTCAGGAATTCGAGGACCCAGCATACAATTGAGGTTGTCGTCAGCATTTGAGGGTTATCTATTTAAGCACTGGTTGAAAAAATACTAATCAGCAGTGGTGAATGATATTTAAGTCTTCCATTTTGTTGATCACTAGTATTTGTCTTATTTTTGTCCAATTCTTACTGTTCTCATGAAATGGACCGTTGCTAATAAAAAGAGAAAAGTACCAATAAACCACTTCTTCCTCTCTGAATTGACTGCAAGTGGAAGTTGGTGCATTAAGTCACGACTCGGAACTTAGTATCATCTACAAAACAGACTGCTCCAGCTACGAACATTACATCGGATAAATTAGTCGTCTTCTCCATGGTCGTATACATGGACGCTAACCGACTGTCAAACGCAACAACATACCTCAAATTTTATAAATAGTACATAAAGATAACCGCAGACAGAGATGATACAAAAAAACTAGGGGATTTTTAAAAATTTAACAGTAAAATCAGTCGATAATCACCATACATACTCAAATAGATTCAACTTATCAATTAAATAGAGAAATCATAAACAACTACCACTCGAAGAACTGTGTAAAGGGGAAAGGCTATCAAAATAAATTTGCAGAAAATGACAGGGTAATTGGTAATATCAGCCAATCAAACTCAATGGTAACAGGACGGGCTGCTAATCGCTTGTGAATTATTTCGAATAGGCCACTTTCATTTGACTTGATGAAACTGTTTAAAAATCCAAGGAAAGCTACACGACCGAACCTTCTACCTAAGAGAATTCAATTTCAATGAAACCATTCTCCTGAGACACTAATCTTCACCATCTCATTTGCTGAACACTTAATCGCAAAATTCAATTTTCTATTCAGTAGGATATATAACGTACATTACTATCACTTTGATATCACTCACCCTTTATCAGAGTGTTGTTTTATGTATCACAAAAGTTATAATATGAAGCAACAACCGAACGGTGATTACTTATGACCATGTTAAATGATAGCCAAGGATTTATCACATGATATTTGACTAAGATATCTTATGAAATATGTTGCTAGTCTGATGAAAGATGACAACCACGACTTTGCATGATCCGTTTCCTAACACTTTAGTGACGAAGAATCAATTACTTATCCACAAAATACGATAAATCAGCTTTTTGTCAGCAAAAATATCTGATAGTTGGTATTGTATCTATACCTTCGTTCTTATTATAGTAACTGAAAGTCAAATCGCTTTATATATCAGTTCAAAAACTTGGTAATTTAATAATAAATATATTTCTCATTGGGAAACGACAAAAAAATATATTTATTAACTTTCTATCCAATGTTCAATTTATTTGAAACTACCAAGTCCAACATTGGTACTCATACGTACAATCTTTCATAGATTGAGGTACTATTATAGATCTATTCTGATAACTAATAGCACACAATTTATGAAATCTATACTTAAAAAATAGATCTGATTCAGGACATTCAGATCTTGCGATGGGTGGATCACCATTAAGAGGTCAAAATTTAAAAACCTGTTTTAGCGGTGCATAAACATCATAGCCGATATTTCTGATACAGTTCGTCGAATAGACAATATGTAAGGTTACAGAATAGTCGCGAATATAAAACACGGAGCTTTTATCTAAAAACAACTTTTAATATTTTCGTTTTACGAAAAAAGCCTATTTATCACACATATTAAGTCGGTATTCTCATTTATGTAATTTTTATCTACATATTTCCTGATTGTGCAAACTAACTCTTGTGTTCTTTTTGTTTCTACTAAAAAGGTTCTGTCACCCAAACGTCTTAATCTACTTGAAGCATGAACTTCTGAACTATCATAAGAATACTCTTAAACTGGGCTTCCTAAATTGTTAGGTGATTCCACTTGATCACTAGAAAGCTGTAAATCTAGGTAAATCATACTTATTAGTTAACTAATCATGCCCAATAACAATCCATACTTTCGCTCACTTGCCATCAAAGCAGTTTATAACCCTATTATTTTCCTAGAATTCGGAAATATAAAACATTGCTTGAATACTTCTGAATGACTACAAGAAATTAAAATATACAAAACGAGATATTCGATATACATAATAAAATTACTACAATATAGCTTAAATTCAGTGCACTTCAATAATGGTCGGTTAGGGTTCGAATTCATCGACAGTCGGAGCTTTGACGTCACTCGTTTCAAGCAATGCAAAAAACCTGTTAGCACATCCCACAACTCCTAAATCACAATAACATAAAGTATGATTGGAAAAGAACAGCAACGTCTAGTTAAAACATATTACGGCTTCGAAGCATAACAGACTCAAGAAAAGATGTACAGTAATGTAGCTACAATTATTCAGTCTAACAAACTTGGTGATACAAATAATAAATTAACTTTGTTCCTGAAGAGCACGAGACATTTCTTCGAATACTTCAACGGCGATTTGAGCCTCTGTCTTCCCCAGTTCTGTAGTAGCGCTTGACAACTCGGATTGTGCCCTAGACATTCCATCTTTAACAGCGTGTGGGTCCAACTGGTCAAGTGAAGCTGCTTCTTCGGCAAGAACTTGAATAGATGAGTCACTATTGACAGTTACAATACCGCTACTAACTAAAAAAAAGTTTAAGATTGAAGTAGTTATGCATAGTAGTTCCACAATAGAGATACCGTCAAGCTTGTAATTTATTTGTATCATTATTTTAATGGAAAAACAGCACGAATAACACTAGGTTTAGTTTCAGAGACATAAATCATAACATACTATACCAGTAATTCATACGATTTTCTAAAAGGTAAAACACATCAAAAGAAGGTTAACTCATCGCAACTAAATTATATATCACAAGGTAATGTCATGAAATTATTACCTCTTTATTTTTCGCACCCCCAAATCCCCTAGTACGTCCCAGGGCGAGGAGTTCGCTCCCCCTTGAGACGTTTTCATATGGCCACGCGTATACAGCAACTACCAGGAAAGTCCTGCTTACCTCCTTCTCGTGGCAGGAATGATACTCAGAGAAAAAACGGCGTATGAACTTATTTTTAATCACCGGCTACGACGAGACCGTGTCTCTAAAAGGTGCTCCGCTGCCTTGTGGATTGAACCTATAGGCCAGAGGCTCAGTGAGCGACTCCCCGCCCCCAAGAAAACCGCCTGCTTCAGTATACCAGTTCACATACAAAATAAATGATGACTACAATTAGAAAAACTATTCTTATTCATGTAAACTATACTCACGTGTAAATACTCGTTTTTATTTAATATTGTATCACTTGTCTATTTTCTTTTATACTTATTTTGTGTATTCTTTTATTTTCCCTTTAAACAACAGCTCGCCTATGGCGGAATCCCTGTTCTATGAAAACGGTCTCAGGTCAATGACTGGTCGACAGTTGGATGCTACCACTGAGCACGAATTCTGAAACCAACCTTTCTGACATCACTCACACCAATCAAACTGGCCTCCAACGTTCACCCACTGATACAAACCGGATAACAGATAGGATTGGGTATACCATTAGAAAATCTCAACATCGATGTCTAATGTCCATCTGAGTCCAGTATTCAAGATGCTAGTGAAGTACTACAATTTCGATCTCCATCTGTCAGTCAGTAACAACGTAGAACTTCGTACGTACGTACGTACGTACATCAGTTCGAGTTGCCACACCACATTAGCACAGAGATGCAGTTGTCGATTCAAATCCCGTAGTGGTAGAGGTAGTAAGATTATAAGCAGTAATCGGGAAGATTAGGGTTTGGAGATGTTATTTAAAGAGTATAGCACAGTGAAATAAATTTTGGAAGAGAAAAAAGGGACATGAAGAATACAGATTAGAATAAGGGAGAACACAAAGAGTGGATGCACCTGCGCCATTGCAAACGATTTTGAGCCATGTCATTCAGGGTCTCTAACCATCGGTTGCTATCATCTCGCGGTCCCCAACCAGGTAGTCTACACCTACCACCATGACTAAGTCCAATTGTCAGTGACTTCATGGACTTGTGACATTTGTTGGTCTGTCCGCCCCTAGCTTTCTTCCAACCCACTCCTACACCAGAAAACATCACACATCGAGGCAGTCGGTCGTTGGGCATACGTAACACGTGTCCCAGCCATCACAACTGATGAAGTTTCACCACTTCATCAATCGATTTGCCATCCTTACCTAGTACCCTTTTCCTAACAACTGCATTACTTACTCGATGCTCCCAAGATATACGAGCAATGTTTCGAAGACACCTATGATCGAATACTAGTAACCTATGAATTTCCTCTACTCTTACCGGCCACGTTTCACTGCCATAAAGTAGGACAGAACGAACTGCTGCACAGTAAACACGTCCTTTGGTTGATAGACGGATATCTCGCCTGCGCCATAGATGACCCAAGTTGGTAAAAGCTAGTCAAGCCTTCTGTATCCGTGCTGAGATTTCGTCACACACCAGACCACGAGGGCTGATGAGACTTCGACACCTTCAACTACTTCACTCCCTATCATTAGTTCGGGTGTCGATGCAACCCAATCCTGAAGCAACATTTCACATTTCGAGAGGGAGAATCGCACCCCGAACATGCTTGCATTGTTGCTTAGAGTGGTCAGAAGACTCTGCATTTTGTCAGCGTCTTCACCAAATAGAACCATGTCATCGGCATATTCCAAGTCAACAAGTGAGTCTCCTGGTAGAAGTTCAACCCCTGGAAATTTAGATGAGGAAAGTGTTATCTCTAAAAGCACGTCAATGACAAAGTTAAACAAGAATGGAGGGAGTGGGCAACCCTGACGAACACCACTTGAGGTAATCAATTCTGATGACAGTTCGTCATAAGCTCTCACTCGACCAGTTATGTTCGAGTACCCACCACAGTTCGCGATCATTGCGTAGGTTTTTCATCAGCCTGCACTTCAACTGACTCCGCTCTTCATTATGTTCAGAGCCAGATGGAATGAGTTTTCGAGCATCAATCAGTGCGGTAGATGCTGCTGAGACCCAGTGTTTCTCCCTGACCTTGTGGTTTACCTTGGTAGCAGATATCACTGCTGTTTTCACAGCTTTTCAGATATCATTCCATGCTGCCTCGGGGTGGGCATCACATACATGGTTGCCTAACTGTTTTCCTAGTTGTTCTTAAAATATACTCTTAGCTTGACTATCATTAAGTAGGGCCCTAAGAGGTTTACTTGCAGAGTCTTTCCTACGTCCAGTAAGACGCAGACAGATACGCGATTGCACTAGAGCATGATCTGAATCTAAGCATGTGCTTGAGAATGAGCGACAGTCTTCTATCGAGCCCCTCCATCGGTGGCTGATAGCGATGTGATCTATTTGGGTCCAACGTTGGGACGAATTAGGGATCTCCATCTGTACCTTCGGAAAACCTGTTTTACTTGAATACATACGGAGATCCGTGGTATCTCTGCCTGGTTTTACTGGCATTGTTATCGCCCTAAGCGCTATAGCTGACGAAACATCGACAGACTTCCTTACGCCTGTTACCAATCTGTCCTGAGCAATCCTTCACAGTTTATATTCATCCTTTTCATGTTTGCTTCCAATTTCCCGCTCAGTATGTTCTTTAACCTTCCACTTTCCCGTTTCCGTTCAGCACTGAAGGTTAACACTTACCTTATGACGCAGTTTGATTTCCGTAATGTATTTCCCATCCATCTCCAACGTATTTTCCTCTTTAGCTGGAATTTCGTTTGGTCTCTCTCACACTAGGCTGTTGCTGATGGTATCCGGTCAACGGACATTCAGTATCTTGTGTAAACAATTGTTTACAAATACTTGTGCTTTCTTGATAATGGTTGTAGTAGTTCTACAAGTTTCAGCTCCATACAGTAGAACTATCTTGACGTTCGTATTGAAGATTCCGAGTTTGGTGTCGGCTTGCAAACAGTTGTTTTGCGTTGCATATGTTCTTCAACTGTAGGAATGCTGTCCTTGCTTTGCCAATCCTCGCCTTTACGTCTGCATCCGATCCTCTTTGTTCATCGATCATGCTGCTGACCAGAAACGTAAAACTTTCTACCTCCTCCACAGTTTCTCCACCAAATGTGATTGGGTTGGTGTTCTCCGTGTTGTATTTGAGGATCTTGCTTTCTCTCATATGTGTGGTGAAGCGTACTGATACAGAGGTTGCTGCTACACTGGTTGTCGTCACCTGCATTTGTTCGTGTATATGGGATAGAAGGGATAGGTCATCTGTGAAGTCCAAATTGTCCAGTTGCATTCAAGTTGTCCACTGTATTCCGTGCTTCCCCTCAGATGTCGAGGAATTCATAATCCAGTCAGCCAGCAGAAGAAAGAGAGAGGGAAAGAGTAATTAGCCTTGTGTGACTCCGGTCCTAACTTGGAATAAGTCTGTCAGGTGTCCTCCGTGCACGACTTCGCAGTGTATTCCGTCATATGAATTCCAGATGACGTGAACAATCTTCTCAGGTACACCAGAGTCGAAAATTGCACAAGGTTCTCCTGTCCACATTGTCAAACGCCCTTTCATAGCTAAGGAAGATTATGTATAGTGACGAGTCCCATTCGACTGATTGTTTAACGATCCGTAGTGTCATAATTTGGTCCGTGCACGACCGGAATCCGACCTGATGATTTCGAGGCTGGGCGTCTACTGAATCTTTCATCCGGTTCAGTAGCATTATGTTGAAAACTTCTCCTGGTACTGACAGTAGTAGTGTGATGCCTCTGTAGTTCTCACATTCACTCAGATCTCCTCTCTTTGCGATCTTGATGAAGTATCCTTCTTTCCAGTCTGTCGGTGGCACTTGTTTTTCCTTCAAAATCTTCCTGAATAGAACATGAAGCATACTTTCAGTTGCTTTCAAGTCTGACTTCAGTGCTCCGACTGGTACCTTGTCAGGTTCTGCTGCTTTCCTACTATTCATTTGTTCAATGTTCATCCTGATTTCTTCGAACGTTGGTGAAGTGACATCTATAGGCATGTCTGTGTGTGCTGCGTTGATGTACATTGAATTCACTGAGGCTGATCTATTCAAGAGTTGCTCAAAATGGTCTACTCATGTGTTCCTCTGTTTTTGAATCGCAGTGAATGTCTTGCCTTCTTTATCCTTGACCGGTTTATCTGGTTTACTATACTTCCCTTCCAATTTCTTCTTTGTGTCATATAATTTGTTTCACATTTTCTTCTCTTGCTGCTTTATCTGCTGTCGTTACTAGGTCTTCCACGTATTTCCACTTGTCAGCTCTAATGCTTGCTTGTTTGTCTCAGTGTATTCAGCTTGTGCCTTAACTCTCTCCGTTCTCGTTCGGCTGTTGTTAATTGTTGTCTTCTTGTTCTTCCTTTCTCGAATACGATACAGAGTTTCTATAGAGATCCATTCCTTATGACGATGACTGTTGAAGCTCAGAACCTCCTGATACGTTGGAGTTGGTGCTTCTTTGATCCCTTTTTGATTGTCATTCATAGTAGTTTCCGATTCTCTTAGTAGATCTTGTAAGACTTGTCAGTATATCGAAGGAAGGCTGTATTGAACCTTTGTAATCCTGATTCCCCATTTGTCCATTGCTCCTTTAGATTCAGTTTCATCTTGGCGACAACCAGGTGGTGATCTGAGGCTATATTCGCTGCTCTCTTGGTTCTCACGTCCTCCATTGACCTTCTGAATTTCTTAGTGATGTTGATATGATTGGTCTGATTCTCTGTAGTGGTGTAGTCCGGTGATACCTGCGTAGTCTTGTGTATGCATCTGTGGGGGAATATTATACCGCAAATAACCACTTTCTTGAATGCACATAAATTGCAAATCTATCACCATGCTTGTCCCTTTCTCGCAGTCAGTCCATGTCGTCGTCAGCAAATTGGTTGCAGCTTCTGTTTCAACTAAATATTAAATCAAGCTAGGTTCAAGGTTAGCTATCATCCCACCCAAAAATATGGACAAGCATTGGCTGCAATTGCATGACAAAATGAAAATAGCGAGTAAAGTTGCCTACCTTAGAGAAATTTCCAACATTGTGGCATGAGTCGATAGTTGTCCCTATCTTTAAAAAGGGTTCACATCACCTATGCAACAACTATCACATAATAAGTCTACTTCCGATTGAGTCCAAACCACTGGCCTTCGTCATACTTTGTAGATTGTTCAAAACCCGAGAAACATTGGCAGGTTGGTTTTTGTTCTGGTTGAGGGTGTATTGATTTTATCATCACCCTCCACTGATTTTTGTCTCAGCGAATTCCACATTGTGCATTGTTTGCCGATGCTGCGACCGGCTGGAAAAAGTGGTGACCAGTGCATGACATGTTGTGGTATGGACGCTGTTAAGGACTTGCTTCTGTTGGTTCTTCAAGGACCCCTGGTTAAGGTCATAGATATGTTGCAACACAGCCTTGAGACGTTATCAGACATGGCTCAGTGGCGACCCTGCTGTAACTTTTAATTTCCTCATAAAATAGTAACTCCCTTAACTGGAAGAATCCTTTTTGCTTGTATTTTTCTTAACTGAACTGTTGTTCCCATTATTACCACTATAATTATTGATTTTGTCACCTTTCAAATAGTCTGCTTGATATGGTAGGAACCCAAGTGGCAAGTATATCACCCAGTTAAGTTCGAAATGATAATCGCGACAGCCAAGTCTAGCTACATTATAGACGTAGCAGTTACAAGACATGTACGTTGCTAATTCTTACATAAATTTCCGTTAAAGATGAATAATGTTATGATAAACTTGGTCAGAAGTGATGCGAAAATTCAGATCTACTATAGCTCCGTATTACCAATCTTTTGACCGAAATCGCACACTGTCTTAAAAAAGTGGAAGTAGGGTGAATAAAAATACTGGTTCATAAGTGGCTTGTCCATTGCACATGAGAATTGAAGTCACGAAATATCTATACTATAAAATGTAATGTACACAACTTTAGTCACCCTCAAGACATTAAGTACAAACTATTAAGTGAACAATACTCGCATTAGTAGAATAAGATTGAAGGAAGGTTAAAGTGTTCCCAAACCAAGATATAGCATCAGTTCATGAAGCTACTTATCGTTGGTCCGAGCCATGTTGATAGATGCAGATTTGAGCGATAATCGTGATCAGTGTTCGGAGATGTTAGCTCAGAACCGATACCGATGGTGCAGATCCATTCGTTCTTCACTTTCCTCAAGATCTTGAGCTTCAATAATCCTTTATACATACCTATTTTAATACCTTTTCAGAAAACACTCTCGGTGTTTATTTCCCACTATTAGTGCTATTGTTATTATTTTAACCCCCTCGGTAGCCATCTCGTTGTGTTCATTCGGCATAGCAACTTCGGGTGACGTCAGGCTCTACGTTGACTAGGATTGGCTACATAAAGCTTTGATGACTAAGACATTTCCCAGGAGTTTCCCCAAAACTATTTTTGGATTTATCTTGATGCACCAGATTTTGAGAAGTTCTAGTTCTATATGTATACTTAACTTACATTATGCTGGTCGTTAGTTGTGCAGTTAAGATGAATTACTACTCCTAGCAATCGGTATTTTTCATGTGGTGCCGCTCTTACAACTAAAAGACAATCATATCCTAGGAGCCCAAAGCGATTAAACAGAATAACCTGGTGAAGTATAAGATCACATGAACATGAACTACTCTTTTAATTGTCACTGTGATTATTGGAAATGGTAACTCGTAGATGCTAAAACTAACATCAATATTAAGGGTAGAGAATCATTTGAATGGGTTATTAGTGCAAAAACAATTAACTAACATCAGTGCTCGAAGTCAATAACTTCTAATATTAGCCATGTTGGTAGATGAAGACTACTTGGTTCGGGTCCGCGTGACTATCGTAACCAATGGTTCGAGATTCTATGTGAGATGGCTCTGAATCGGTCACAATGGCATAGGTGTATACACTCTGTCTTCCCTTGAACTATGAGGTTAAAATCGCTTCATATCTTTCTTTTTACCAACTAATTCTTTCAACTGTACTATATCATCATATGCAATCCTTCTTTAATATATTACCACCACTGAATTAACTACTATGAATTCGGTGTTCATCTTGTTGTGCTAATGAGGTATGACAACCTAGACCGACGCATATACGTGCCTGGTCTTACGTTGTAGCCGACTGACTGACTTAGCATTCTTAACCAGTATCATTAACAATAAAACTTAATGAACTATTTCCCGTACTAGGTAGACGAAACGTACCGAAATACTTTTTTACACTTCCGTCATTTTCAGTGACTGCCACAATACCGGGTTTTAGACAACCCACTGTGGGGACATGTTCAGCCAAAACACCGAAACGACCATTTAAAGTGGGAACGTCAACTTGCTTTACCGCGACATTGTTGTAAAAGGCTTGGGCTGATGAAGCAAACGTAAGCTTGAGTTCTGTCAAACACTGTGTCGAAGTTCGAATACTCCGTATGTGACTTGGAAGTCGAAATATGGCAACCCTTCTGAACAGCTAAAAAAGACGAAATATGTTTGCAGGCAATGTAGTTAGCATTTTCACAGTTCGTAATGTTTAAACATTCAAAAAAGTACATGAAATGTATCTTCACTTGTCCGAAACCATTGATGAGTATGCAAACTTACGTGTGGTGCTTTTCTAGTCTTTATTTTAGCTGTTTCTGTTACAGAAACAGGAAAGAAATTCTTGATCTTAAACGACATTGGTAAAGTACTAACCTACTGAGAAACTATTTAACGCCCATCCTAAATTATCTTGTTTGTCAGTAGACTTTAGTCCGCTTAGCACAGATCACAAACAAATTCTGATACCTAGTTACAGGTGATGGAATTACAGCTAGAATATTTAAACTCAAACGTCAAACAATACCCTTTTCATTTGCAAACGCACACACACTAAACCTATGGTAGTAAAGTAGTAGACAGAGTTTGAGTGAGTGACACGAAGTGCATCTAACTAATAATGACTTAAGTATTTTTAATCTTACACTAAAATTTTATTTCTGAGATGCCTTGATGAAAACAGTAATTATTTGATGAATAAGTACTCTATAATTTTCGCGACACAAGATATCGTGCACGTCGTTAGCCACTCACAATTTTCAATAAGGGCTGGAGTTTTCACCACAAACCTAATCCAACATTAATGCACGAATACTTTGCAACCATATGAATCTCAGCTCATGTCAGCTAATGATGAAACACAAACTCTGCACGCTAGTCCTGACCCGCCGCCCTAGCAGGATAAGTTGTTAAGTTGTATTATTCGCTCTCTAATGGATAGAAGATGGCAATATTTCGTTACGGTAATCTAACTAGTCGTTATAGTCCATAGTTCTGCTCCACCCGAAACACTAAGCAAGAATTTCACCAGCCACTTTGTGAAAGAATACTGAATACAAGAACAGAGCTGATGGAAGCCTCATGAGTACTTTGTAGCTTAGGCTAGAGAAAAGATAAGGACAAAGGTAATTAACAAAATACCATAAAGTCAACAAGGAGGTCACAACTTTACCATTTGGCGCGCTGCAAAAATCCTCAATAACCAATCATTATCCAATTGTTTGAAATGGGCATGGACAACAGAAAAAGATTTCACTTAGAGGAATTTTGTATCTAGTACAGTGGATCACTGACACTTTCAGAAAGAAGCTTAACGACCTAAAGAGAAATATTAGTAAATTACAGTGTAATGTATACAGTTTGTGTATTAAGGACAGAAGGCCTACGGCCTATGTTATTCCTTTTCTAGTATCCTTTCGTGAGTGTCCAGTCTTCTCTTGAATAAGCCAATTGAATATGCGGATATCACCACTCCGAGTAACAGGTTTCAAGAATTGATGACTCAGTGTGAAAACCTGTATGCCATGGGTGTTTTGTTCGTTCTTCGCTTTTCTGCTATGTTCTCTGGGATGTTCCGATCTAATGAAAAGGAAAAGAGAGAATACATTAGGTCCAAAATCATTTATTTGTTTTCTATGCATCAAAATCAGATCACTTCTTAATCTATGACAGGATAGAGTAGAAAGGTCTAGCTTTTCAAGCCTCTCTTTGTATGGTAAACCCTGGAGTTCTGAAATTGCACGGGTAGCTGCCCACTTTACTTTTCCCAGGATATCAGAGTCCACTTTTAAACAGGGGCTTGCAGTCTGGACGCAGTTTTCAAGCCTAGTTTCTACTAGGGTTGTGTATACTGTAATGTACATGGTAGTGTTTAACTTGGTGAATGTCCCTCTTAAAGCCTAGAGGGTCCGAAACCCCTTAACTGCAATCTCCCCGTAGTGGGCCTTGGTCTTAAGATCATGGCTCACTGTCACTCAGAGATCCTCATGAGGTGGACCATGAGTACAGGAATTCCCCCTACGATGTATCTATTTACCTTTGTATTCTCAAAGTGCATGTAGATACATTTCGACGTGTTGATAAGTATCAGACACTCTTTAGACCAGCCAATTACAATATTTAAGTCTGCCTGAAGTGAGCATGCATCTGCGTCTCACGTTATTCGGGAGATCATTTACATACAGTATAAAAAGTAAAGGATCTAGGACAGAACCTCGGGATACTCCATTAAGTACTGATCTCCGGGTGAAGCACTTGGAATTTGTTCTTATTTTATGTCTGCGACCTGCTGGGAAATCCTTAAGCCATTTTCCGAGAGGTCTGACAATGTCAAGATTTTCCAGCCTCAATAGGAATTTATTTGTTAGCACCTTGTTAAATGCTCCGGTGAAGTCTATGTGGACAACATCCACTGATTTTCAATTGTCTAGAGGCCTTATCCATGCTCCCTTACTATAAATAGGTTTGTTGTGCAAGATAAACCTTTTCTGAAGCTATGTTGTTCACTTTTCAACAAGTAGTTGGTTCCCACGAATGTCATTATAGTCTTTTTGACTATTCTTTTCAGTACTTCAACTACAACACTGGTGAGGCTAAAAGGTCTGTAGTTCGGCAGAAGTTGTCTTGGTCCTGTTTCATGTATTAGAGTGACGATTATATCCTTCTAGTCCGTAGGTAACACACCTTAGTCAAATGACATATTGAATATCGCAATTAGTAGAGCTGAAATATATTGTGCAATTTGTCTCAGGTTTCTCTCAACACTCGGAAGAGCTTTCAACAGGGTATTGTTAAACAGAACTAAAAACCCAGTGAACGACAAACTTCGAGACTAACAGGATCGATTCCGACCAAATCGCAACACTTCGGATCATTGTGGAACAAACAATTGAATGGAATTCATCACTCTACATCAACTTCATTGGCTACGAGAAAGCATTCGATGGCTTGGACAGGAAAACACAATGGAGGCTTCTTCGACACTATTGCGTGCCAGAGAAAATGCTCACCATCATCTGGAATTCATATGATAGGTGAAAATGCAAAGTCATGCATGGAGGACAGCTCACAGACTCGTTAGAGGTGGAAATCGGTGTCAGACAAGGTTGCTTACTCTCACCCTTTCTCTCTTCTCCTGGTGATCGACTGGATCATGGAGACATCAAAATCTGGGTGGCAAGCACGGGATACAGTGGACATCTAGGATGCCGTTGAACGATCTAGACTTCACAGATGATCTGACCCTCCTATCTCAAACGCAACAACAAATGCAGGAGAAGACGACCAGTGTAGCAGCAGCTTCAGTAGCAGTAGGTCTCAACATACACAAAGGGAAAAGCAACATTTTCCGATACAATACAACATGCACCATTCAAATCACACTTGACAGAGAAGCTTTAGAAGATGTAAAAACTTTTACATATCTGGGCAGCATCATTGATGAGCACGGTGGATCTGATGCATATTTGAAGGTGCGGATTGGCAAAGCAGGAGCAGTATATCTACAATTGAAGAACATCTGGAACTCAAAACAAATGTCAGAATCTTCAATACAAATGTCAAAACTGTTCTATTGTATGAGGCAGAAACTTGGAGAACTACGAAAGCTATCATCCAGAAGTTACAAGTGTTTATTGACAGCTGTCTACGCAAAATACTTTGGATCCGTTGGCCAGATACTATCAGCAACAACCTACTGTGGGAAAACAAACTAGATCTCAGCGGAGTAAGAAACTATGAAGAAGCGCTGAAAGTGAACAGGATACACATTGAGGAAAACACTCAGCTGCATCACCGGCAAACCCTCATCTGGAATACTCGAGGCCAAAGGAGGAGAGGAAGACCAAAAAACGCATTACGTCGAGAAATGGAGACGGACATAAGAAAAATGAACAAAAATTGAACAGAACTGGAAAAGAAGGCCCATGACAGAGTGGATTGGAGAATGTTGGTCGGCGGCCTATGCTCCATTGAGAGTAACAGGAGTAAGTAAAGCAAGTAATTTGTCTCAGGATTTTAGGGTGTATATCATCCCGGACGGAAAATATCTCCAACAAGTAGATGTTATTTTTGAACGTCTACAAAAACGCAGCACTAACATAACACTCCAAAATGCCAAATCGGAACCGACTTTCTAGACTTTCTCAGACATACTATTGATGCTCAAGTCAACCGACCTCTAAAAAGCAAAGTGGCGGCCATTTTTGATTACCCAGAACCTATCACAGTCAAGCAACTACGCAACATTGCTCACGCATCAGGACACCAGAGAACCCACTAGTATTGCAATAGACGCATTGTACTCTGCAATCGGTGGAGCGTTAAAACAATTTGTAAATAACACCTGGCAACCTTAAGCGTTCTACTCGAGACGGTTGCAAGACGCCGAAACGCGGCAAAGTACTTTCGATAGTGAACTCTTAGCCATGTATTTTGCTGTACAGCACTTTCAACACTTTTTGGGAAACAGAGGATTCATTATGTTCACCAACCACAAACCTCTCACTTTCTCTCTTAGCTCGTATTCAGTTAAGTACTACCCACGAGTCTCGACAACTGGAATAAATTTCGCCGTTTACTTCAGATATAGAACACATTTCTGGGGTGAACGATATAGTTGCGTACGCCTTGTCTCGTATGACATCCTTGTACGGTTTCCAAGGTATCGACTTTCTTGAACTCTTACAGCTTCAAGAAGACACTGATCTCCAGCACGACATATATTACTCAACCCTAAAACTGCGTATTACACATATGGGAACAGGTAAGGAATCCTTACAATGCAACACATCTACAGACAGCGATCGTCTAATCGTGCCGTTTCACATGATGGGCGAAAGCACTGCCTATCAAAGACATTACTACTGAAACATTGATCTGCACGTTCGTAAAACGGTGGGTACCAAACTTCGAACCCTCTCACTTTTGACTTCTGATTTCTCTATGTCGGCATACAAGTGTTACTGGCAAGGGTGTTGTCAAACTCCGATTGCGTGTAGAATCATTAAAACGTTTAGTTCCCTATTAAACGAGTCCTGAGAAGTCACTATTATCATTTCAGCCCACAGCAACTCCCAAAATTCAACTGACTGTAAGAATTATGTATCCAAGATCGCCAGAGGTTGAACTTGCTGTTCCACAACACAAAGTTACGACATAGCTTGGCAAAAGAAACGTTGCCACGTGTGTATGAGGTTAATGATCAAAGAATATTCAATGAAGACCTCTTTAGATAACTCTCCTTATCTAAGCCCTCCCAGAAGGTGTATAATGTACTTGCGTCATCCCAAAATGACGGCGTAGATAAATTGGCTGAGTCTGTTGATCGGACTCTAAAAGATCACCCGAAATCCAATCACTAAGGTATATTCTGTCAGTAAAAATCCTCAAACGACACAAGAGAATTTACAGACCTCTGTCATACTCTCACTCATTATCTAAATACTCATCATCATCGCAGAGCCCCTTAAACCCCTCGGAACCCATCATGAAAAAGATCTGCCTCTAGATCACGAGAAACAGATAATTCCGATTGGCGTTGTACTTCAACAAGAACGCTAAGTCTTCTATAAATTGCGATAAACCCTAAAGTATCCCCAATCCCAAACCTTTTATCAAGACAAAATTTTCGGGGAATTTCCCCGTAGGCGTGTGTTAACGGCAGTTGAGGTAGGTGGAAACAACCGTCTGTCGCACATCACTGATGTGGTGACGAACTTTCTCTCACGACGGACTACGAGATCCGGCCTTCAACTTACAGGAAGCAAATGGTAAACTGACCACTACACACGGTAAGATATATTATTATTTTAACGATCATTTACGCCAACCTCTTCACCGGATTTTCATTAAGACAGATGTTTCTATTCTAGTCGTTGATACAGACGTGTTACAACACCATACTCTGCTCACCAACTCGAACGAATGAAGATTAGTAAACGGAAATACTAAATAATCTGTTTGCGTTGTAGGTTATGCCCAGACATGATTAAACATACAATCGATCGACAGACACATGATAAGTACCCTGAACTTTATACAACAAGATTGAAATTGCTGTGTTGCCAGCAATATTACACACCGCATTACGACTACAGGATAACCCGTACTTTTGAAAACTCGCCGACTATCTCCCGATAAGCTGAAGTTAGCCAAAAACGAATTCGACTGCAAGCGCATGATCCCTAAACATGACCGATGGTTGGTGTCTAACCAGTGACTATTAGCGACTTAATACGAAAATAGCTTGCGATCGCTGCGTGATGCTACAAATCCATGACCTGACACCTACTCTAAAAATCGCAGTCGATTTATCGAAAATCGATCTTGTCCAAGAGTATGGCCAAGTTACTATGACTGCAGTTGACATTACGAAATCTGCTATCCACACATCAGGCTCTACAAAGCTTTTGCACATAACATTCGAATTGAAAAGCAATACACAAGTGTTTCAGGGACCCGTCGATGTTGTAGCCAGGGTTTTCAACCTCTTGAATGTATATTTTGGTGACTGCTTGGTGGCGAGTTAGGATAGAGTATTTCAACTCCAGGATCTGGACCGTTTTCGCAAACGACACCAAAAACATGACATCACGATGAACATTCAGAAATTTCAAATCCAAACCGCTTCTCTGGACACGCTTCTGACACCTAAGGAATTCATTCCTTCAGAAGACAGGTGGCGGCCATTTTGGACTACCCAGCCCGGCCATTATGCATATTTAACAAACTAATAAATTGTTATCGATTGTTAATAAATAAATGTCCATCTATCGTGAGACCCTTGAGTCCTGAGTTGCAAAACACTGAAGATATCTTTAGTATTTGTTCAGAAATAAATTGTTTAACTATTCCTCACTTCGTTGAAATACGGTGACAATGAAGATTGTATTGCTATGACTTTTATGAATGACCGCCGTTATATACCGGCATTTCAGTTTATCCACAACATCATCGATGCACAGAAATTTAATTGTGTATTTTATGAATCTTCTTATTTTTTAGTTAGAGAGTTATATATAAATAAGGATGAAATTCCAGTCAAGAATGTCATGCCAATCACTGACTTCAGTTGTCCAAAATGTAGTGCCGTAAAAATCATGGCACAGTTTTCAGCACATATTCGCTAAAATGACGTGAAACTGACTTCAATTACTTGAAACACATCTTTTATTGAACTCTGCAACCCCTCAACTTTGTAGTTAGCGCTTGTGATTGTCCTTCAGGTTGTTCGCGGCGCAAATCAGGTGATATTTCTGTTATGATAACTGTATGGGTCACTTACCTTGGACATTTATTGTAAGCACTCTGCTTTCTCACTATTAGTACAAGATTCGCTTCTTCGTTGTTACTTTTGGGGCTCATATCCAGTCGGAAAAGTACCCAATTGTAATAATCCCAGGTGATGGAGGGTGTCAGGCGTATAGCAAGCTAAAAAACTCAACGTCACCTCCTTTTTTAGTATGGATAGACTTACGTTACTTTCTCGAACCGGGAAAACTAAATGAATACTTCGGGTAAGGTTCACAACTGTTTGATTTATTGGGTCTCAGCTTAGTTTATGATCCAGTCACCAGAAAGTCTAGAGATCCTGATAGCGCAGACGTATATTTCCCAGGTTGGGGTGAAACGTGGTCTATTGAAAATTTGGATAGTTATAGACATAGCAGAACTGAATATTGTGGTCCGATGATTGAGTCATTGCGTCGTGATCCTTTCTTTGTATCCAACTGGACTATTCGCGGTGCACCCTTCGATTTCCGTAAAGCTCCAAGTTAGTTTAAAGCTTTTAAATTAGCTTTCTCTCCAGATGAAAACGAGGACTTTAATAACAAACTTATGCACCTGATTGAGGAGACTTATCAAAATGGTGGAAACCGGTCTGTTGTTTTGCTTGGCCATAGTTTGGGGGCTAAATACGGGATGTACTTCTTAAAGTCAATGAAGAAAAGCTGGAAGAATACATACATCAAAACCTTTGTCTCACTCAGTGCACCTCTTGGTGGTTCAGTAAAGGCTCTTAAAATTGAAGCAAGTGGTACGTTATGTTATTCAATTATATTTGTTCAAATGTGTCAGCGTTTATTACTTTTTTGTCTTACTTAAAGTCTTAGCATACAACTTCATTTATAATTAAAAAAGAGACCACTAACTCGGACTACGATGGATTATTATCCAGGATGTACATATCTGCTTACCATTACTTAGCGCGGAATCATCACTTAAATTTCTCACCATTTTTGTCAACCAACTGGTCCTATGAGTGTTTGTTTGAAATTAATAACAACAAAGTACTCGAACCTCACTGATTGTTTCAGAACCTTGGTAGAATTGCAATCGAAATCGGTTTGTAAAATATTACCTGTTCATTTTTTGTAGTCTTATTTATAAAATGAATTTCCGGCAATACTTGAATTGCCTAATGAATCACTGATGAACCTAGTTGGTAAATAACGTCATTGTTTGAATATTCCGATAACATATAGCCTTATTAGCACAATAAGTAACAATAAAAAAGTATTTCCATTTCTATTTGTAAATGCAAAATGTTATTTTAGATTTGATCCGCTCCACTACCTAGACTAACCATAGACAGCAAAGTAAATAATTTTGCTGACCACTACGCTTATATTAAAAGACTAATCACACTCGGTTGATGGCTAATAAAATCTCTATACGACTACTAAAAGTCCACGTGGTTCTCACGGATTTGCGCTGCTGGTGAAGTAGAACCAGTTGTACTGCACATTTGTCCGCAATTTGCTGTCTTTTTTCTGATCTTCATTGTCAGACTACTCATTCATACATTTATTTTATTACTTCACAAACCGAACTAAGGTTTTTAGCCTGCGATTCTAAATTTTTTGATTGTAAACTAACGCATTTCACGGATATCAGTTTTATGAAACGCATCTAAAGTCTCATATTTACTTTTCCTGTCTCAATATATTATTGTTGTTGCTGTTGGTTTGTAACTAAAGTGATGATATAATTCCCGGACTTCTCACATGAATGTTACTTATTCGAGTTGCATCAACCGACACAGCTGTTTGAGTATGCAATCTTCGTAGTTACTGCCAGCAAATCTGCGTATGCTGTAGCAGATCCTGATATCCTGGGTTTAGTTTGTAATTGAATGATATTGATATCTTGAAGCATCAGGTAACATGATGCTTTAAATATATCAAGCTTGTTATCCCGATATTTGCCGAGGATTAGATCTTTATACTTAAAATAAAGGCATTACAGTGCAGTCACGCTGTGAAGCCTTATCAAATATTCCATCAGTGGTAAGGTCATAGGAAGCAAACAGCCAGGTGAGTTTTACCAGCCTTATTACCAGGATTTATTAGTGAGAATAAGAAATCCACCCATTATATGGGAAACGCTTCTATTTTAGTCACCGAGTCTTATTTATAGCTGTCAGTATAATATATCTTTAATAGATAATCTCATGCAACTATTTGATATTTTCTGGAGAACCACGTCTGCAACTATTTTCTGGAATATATAGGTAATGTAAGTACCTGTTTCAGTTTGGGCACCCGGGCAGTATCACAGCCCTTACAAATATCAAATGAGATTTGTGTGGCGCATATGTATTTGGTGCCTCCTTGTACCAATATCTATGTGTTAAAATAAACAAATACAATAAATTCTAAGTACTTTTTACAATAAACCTGTCATTTTTAAACGTTGTTTAGATGTGCTGCTATTTTTGTAGGAGATAACTTTGGTGTGTTTTTACGCAGTCCACTTAGTTTCCGCCCTGTTCAGCGCACGCTACCTTCTCTTGCTTTTCTCCTCCCGGATTCTCGTTTGTGGTCACCAAAGGAACCTCTTATTATAACGCCAACAACAAACTATTCTGCTCATGACTACGAACGTTTCTTCCATGATGTCAATTATTCAATCGGTGAGCACATGAATATTATACATTCAGTCTACTCATTTTAACTTGTTAACTTTGTTTTATTAAGAATTTACTAACGTTGGAAAACCCAAGTCATTAGATTTCAAATCAGTAATTGAGTAGCTTCGTGTATAACGTCTTTAATTTATGTGCGTACTGCTAAAATGCCGTATATTAGGACAAGTCAGTTATCAACTGCTGTGTGCTTCCAAATAGTGATTCAGTTTATGTTAAGCTATGGTGTAAATCATTATCAAGTTGAACCAATCTTAATACATACTAAATCGAGTATTAAGGTAATTTGCAACCACTTAAACAACTAGATGTATTATTGAAAGATTCTCTTTATTCTTACTTCTTGCGCCTGTTGCTGTTCATAGATCACAGGCCATCAGCTAGGATTATCCAACCATCCTTATCCTGGGCTCTTCTTTCCAGCTGTTTTCAATTACTGCTCATTCTTCAGATGTATGCCTCCAATCCTCGTCGCAATATTTTCTTTGATCTTCTTTTCCTTTTGCCTTCAGGATTCCAAGTTAGGGCTTGCCTCGTGATGCAGTTTGAGGATTTCCACAATGTATTTCCTATCTACTTCCAACGTCTTTTTATAATTTCATCATGAGCTGAAAGTTGGTTTGTTCTCTGACAGTAAATTGTTGCTGATTATGTCCACCCAACGGATCTGGAACATATTATGTAGACAAGATACAAAAATGCTTTCTACCCTTGTGTATCGTTATTCTAGGATATTATTATCCACGTCGTTTGGTCACGTACTGCTTCTTTTTAGTAAGTGGTTGTGAAGTTAAAACTAAGTGAACCGAAGGAAATAATAAAGATGCTTATTCCAAATAATTATCCTTCATTGTTTCCACTCTTCGTAGACTTTCACTGAGTGGTAGTTTGGTTATCCACCAAATTAAGACATCAATGAAATCTGTTATTTACAACCACCAGAAAAGGTGTTAGTGATTTTTTTGGACAAACTGAATATTATAACCTAAATTAAAACCATATCAATTACTGTTGATGTAAACAATATGTGAAAAAGTTGATTGTTAGAGTGAGTTTTCAAGATAATAATCATGATCTGTGTTGAGAAACCTTAATTGATGCAGCTCATAATCCGTCGCACTAGCGCTGATGCATTTATTCTGTATTTTCTGGTGTTATATTTTGTTTTCTACGATTACTTATACAGTGTTTTTCATTCCTTTGCTCTTCATGTAGTCACTTTTTTGTCTCTGCACTGGCGTTTAGTGTGGGATTTTAGTCTGATGTACACTTTTCGCTAGCCATATGTTGTTTATAAATGACTAAATCCCAAAACCAGTAGAAGTCACAGAATGTTAGTGCCAGATAATATGCCACGAAATAGTTTCAAATGATCTCATCGTTTTCATCTGTCTCTTCACCTGTTTTAATTTGTATTAGATCTTAGCTGAAGATGTTATTAATAGCGAAGCCTTTTTAACAGTTGTCGTAGTAGTCAGTAAAGTTGATTCAGTAAATTATTTAGCCTTCTTTAAATATCTGGACAGGTCTGCATGCGTTCAATCGATCTCCAAATCAAAACGGGGCTTGGAATGTTATTATGTTTTGAAGAAAAAGGCAAAGTTATGTCTCAACAAAATGTTTGAAATTTATGAACGGAATAGTTTTCACTGAATATAAATCACAGTACGCTATTTAAGACTATGAAGTTACATTTTGAATACATAAATTAACTTCATATTGAACAAATCGAAATAGAACAAAAACACTGAAAGTCAATAAATAAAATTTCTTTTCAATCAACTTGAGGATTCTAAAACCGGTTTCTTAAATGTATTATTTGGGAATTTCACATCCTCAACAGAAACTTTTATGGAACAAACTTTTAAAGAATTATTTTACTTAAAATCATCACACTATTTTTGCACACTTATACATTTTTATCCTTAGGTTTCCAAATGATGTTGGACAGTAAATCTATAATTGATACATTCGAAAAACCAAGTGATATTGATGAAATCTATTGTATTCATGGATCAAATTTAAGTACCACTGACAAAATGATTTATTCACCGCCCAACTTCTTTCATAGTGGATTTCCAGATCAAGTGCCGACATTGATTTCTGGAAACGGTGATGGAACTGTTAGTCTACGTAGTTTAGAAGTCTGTAAACGTTGGCCTGGTATAAAATATTTCATGTTACCTGGGGCTGAACATGTAAATATTATGGGAGATCCACGTTTTATTGATATTATTCATCGAATTGTTGGTGCTAATACAACTAAAACATTAAACTGTTGTTAATTATTTTCTTCACTTTATTATTTACTTCTTCACTGTAATAAGATTCTCATTTCATTCAATTTCCATAGAATTATTTGTTACAATATGGGATGGTGGTCAAGATAGACTGCAAAGTATAAGACACATGTTCCTGGATGTATCAAATGTCATATGGATATATACTCAAACTTGAACAATATTTTTGTTTTAATGTGGACAAAATCAGGATAATAGAAGTTATGTTTTCTGTATTGTTTTTAGGTCCTCATAATTTATTTCTATTATTACTGTATTTTATTACAAAGTTCTTGTTTTAATTAGTATTAAGGGATTATTTTTAAGTTTGAAGAGGTTGTATAGATTTTCTTTTTATGTTAAAATAGGTTTCATCATAGGTTGACATCAACTGGAGTACCAGAGACTGTCTGAATCAATCTAATTCACGTTTTATTAACATTATGCATCAATAATTTCACGTAAAACCAAACATAGAGCATTTAGGTTTCGTAAAAAGTATGATACTTTTAAAAAACTGAGTTACAGTTGGAACGAAACAGCAACCCAATGTTTTTCCAGTTTTTAATGGTTTGTCAGCTGTTTTCTTCCTTTATTTATTTGAACACATAAATATTGGTACAAGAGGGCACCAAATATATATGCATCACACAAAACAATGAGAATTTAAAAACAAGAAAAAACAGGGTAAGGAGCGTAAAAGAAAAAGAGAACAATAACGAACAGATAGGTGTAAGGTAGTATAATAATAATAATAGTAATAACGGGGGAAACGGGAAGGTACAACCAGAAGAAATCTTTCAGTTAAGGAAGTAGCAACCACTTCTTACGAAGAAAGTTACGGCAGGATCGTCACTGGCTTCTGTTCTGAGCCATATCTGATAACGTCTCTAGCCACTGTGTAGCACCATCTCTCAGACTTCAGCCAGGGAATCCTGAAGGGTCAACAGAAGCCAATCCTTTGCAGCTTTCTTTCATACCACGACACCATTTCATATACCGACCACCTCTTTGTGTTTTCCAACCAGTCCCAGCGTCGGCAAATAATGCACGACGTGGAATTCTCTGGGACGACATTCGTAGAACATGTTCAAGCCACCGAAGTCGGTGTTTCAAGATGGTGACATCGATTGCATTATCATCTCTGTGCCCGAACACACGATGCCGAACCTTTGCATTACTGACATGGTGTTGCCACTGGATGTCATCAATCCTTCGGAGACAACAATGATCGAACACAGAAAGTCGTCTAACATCCTCAACTTGGAGAGGCCAGGTTTAACAAGCATAAAGCAGAACTGTTCTCACTGACGCGTTGTAGATCCGACCTTTCACAGCCAGACTAACATCACGAAGATGGCCCAGATCGGCATAAGCCGCTCTGGATTTCACTATACGTACATTGATCTCATCACTCACGCCACCACCAGCACTTATGCGGCTACTTAGATACACGAACTTCTCGACTACTTCTATCTGCTCACCACCCAGAGTGCGTACAGTACTAGAATCCCGCCAGTCTTGTAGAAGTACTTTGCACTTCGAGGGTGCAAAGCACATACTATATCTACGGACGCTGATTGCCAATTGATTAAGTGCGGATTGCATGGCTTGGGCATTATCGCACAGTAAGACAATATCATCCGCACACTCAAGGTCGAGAAGTCTTTATCCAGGCAACAGATCCACACCACCATTACTTACATCCATCAGAGCTGTTTCCAGAATGTCATCGATGGCAAAGTTGAAGAGGAATGGTGAGATCGGGCAACCCTGTCTAACCCCACTGCTCGAGTGGAACAACGGAGAAAGGTGGTTGTATGCCCTCACTCTGCCTGAGGCGTTTGTATATAGGGACTTTAGGATGTTAATAAACTTCGGCTTGCTGGCCTAAATAGTCAAACCTTAACTATTGGGTTGTAAATCCCACTCGTAGATAGCATTTATAATTGTTATCTGATGGATATACCTCAGCCTTTTGTAAATCAACTTGTTCCTGTTTGTCGGAAAGGGCTAAGTATATCTCAACGTACATTTCTATCATACAGGACTGAATTAGTTTGCAGTGATTACGGATTAGTATAAGCTTGATATGATGTGACATTTAGATGTTACGCAAGTATCTGATGCATGACAACTCAGTATTGTAATAATATAACGATTACTTTAGTTACAACTACTAGGTAAATGTTCAATATCTAATAACTGTTCAGTTGGTAAAAATAATAAAAAGCTAAATCTTTGGGACCAGAAATCTGTAAATGTATCAGTTTGGTTTTAAATATCTTACCTCTCTTGTTCGTTTAAAGTCATGGTGTGATACGATGCCTGCAATAAGCAATTCATAGGTTTCTCTAAAGAACTGCTGACTTGTTGACAGAATTAGTGAGTTAGCAATAGTCTCAGGCATAAATAAATAAAATGATTGGTTGTTTCACGAAATTATTACCCTCATCATATACTGTCACACAGGTCAGTGTGTAAGTAGATTGGAAAAGATCCAACAACACGGATTAAAATTATAATCAATTCATGAAGTCTTCAATAACTTTACTGATTCAAATCAAGATTTGCAGGTTTTCTAGCCAGTGTTTGTAAGAAAATCATAACAAATTACTAATGACAAAAGTGCGACCCAAACTAAGTCACTAGCTTATATATATACACTTTTACTTCAATGTTGCATCATTCTCTATTGTTCACTTCAGAATTATTTTAGTTTTCCACTGCTATTGTGAACACGGTTCTTCCTTTTGTTGTGTTTCGATGCGTGCATATATATATATATATATATATATATATATATATATATATATATATATATATATATATATATTCATTTCAATGATGAACGATTACGGTAGTAACTTTGTAAAAAGAATGATTAAGGACAAAAGTCAAGAAAATAAGGGGAAAGAAAAACCAAAAGAATGGGTTCAAATTGCGGTGATTCCATATCTCTAAGGAACTTTGAAAGAAAGGCATAATACCGCAAGAATAACAGCAGAATTGTGTCTAGGAGATCAAATATAATGTTGTATACATAGGTGAGACATCATGACAGTCGAATGTGAGGATGAAAGAGCACAAACTTTGCTTAAAGCACATTCTTGAATCGTCAGGAGACCTCACGCTCGAAAAAAGGTCGGTGGTACCATATAAATTAGAAGAGTCTGGGCATACACTTAACTCCAACAGCATATGAATCCTTCAAAAAGGTTTTTTTCATTCAGAGATTAACAGTTGAAGCTTTACACATAAACAAACTCAAACAACACAAACAGTAGAGATGCGATACAACCAGTTATCTCATGGCAATTAGTAATTAATAAGTAATTCTGTATTTCGTTTCATACTTTATTGCTTCTAATTCGACTATTATTGTACCGATAGCAAAGATGTGCTTTCACCTATTCTAATCAGTTAATTTGTCTGAGTATACGATGAACAAACAGCCTGCTTGACACAAACTTACTTTTATTTGTTTATTTATTCCCATTTTATGCATACTGTGACACGTTTGATCCATAATATCTACCGAATTGTCCGAATCTATGAACCGTCATAACCAGAGATATATGATCAGTTAATTTTCTCACATCAGATATTCATTCATCACAACTTCTCCACCTTTCACACCAAATGATGCATACGCACTACGACATCCAATTAACAGCGTTTTGAACATGACTAGATGACTTCTTTAGTGTGTGGTCGAATTGGGATTACCAATTGTAGCGTGGCGTCGAGTTGAGATTACCTATGAACACCGCTACCAAGAAACACGTGCCAAGCGAATCAGAAGGCATAAGAAGCTCGTTCCAAATGACTCCATAAAATCCCCGAGAAGCCAAATATCAGAAGACAGTTAATGGACCAAGTCGAGGTTTATTAGCTGGCGATCTCGTGGCATCGAAAGGATACCGAGATCGTGCCAGGATACGATCGTGGTTACAGAAGGTAACCGAATTCGCGCGAAGTTACAATCAAAGTGTAAGTATAAGAATGGAAGCACAAAGTAGCTGTCATTAGCACAGTCAAACAAAAGCACGTTAAAACAAACACTGGTACAGTTGGTTATAATAATAATTGTTTTTATTAAACCAGTCGTGTTCTCGTGATAAACGTGAGTCACTACAGGGGCCCCCCGCTAGAAAGGGTTTACACTTTCGATAAATAGCGGTTTGAATCGTGGGACTGATCGGCTGACGAGCGATTGTAGGACGGAAGAATTGGCGAACAGGAAAGCGATCGTTAATCGTCGAGTTGCCAACGAAGGTCGTTTTCGGAGAACAGTACCAGGAGCGATGTGTTGTATTTATTGCTTGAGTTGGCATGCTACACCAGAGTGGTTTGTATCCAGAATCTGAAGAGGGCGTTCGTATGGGTCCGGACCATAAACGCTGCAGACGAAGGACGAAACCACGTTGAGCCAAAAGACCAGAAGCGACCGTAACGACCAAGTTCGAGACCAAGCGCATGCCAAGCATTCGAAACCAATATATCGACTGAAAACGTTGACAAGAGCGTGGGTGGCCAATCCAGCTTTCGCCAAAGTTGACTGAAGTCGACGGAACCAAACGGAGATGGTCGAAGGCGTGGGCTCAGGAAACAAAAAGAAAATCAAAAAAAGAAGAGTGTAGCATGCGTGTAGTATAGGAATAGTCCTACACCGTATCGGTTGTTGACTGTGCGACTATTCGCGGAAGCGTACGGGTAACCGTACTCGGCGACCGGAACGTGAGACGGTAGTCTCGTTCGTATCTCGTGAGCCTGCAATCTCATCCGAGGTCAGAGGCGGCGTGGTCTGCTGATCTGGACGTGAGACTGTCGTCTCGTCCGTAGACGGTGCAGATGACGCGTGCTGTTGACTGGGACGTGAGAATGAGGTCTCACATGCATCTAGCGTGGGACCTGAAGAAGATTTAAGGATCCCGCTAGGTTTGATAGGTCTAGCATTGAATCTCAGGGTGTCAGATAGGGCACTGTCATCGACGTGTGCTGGTTTGAAACGATTAATGCTGACGATCTCGACGCGTCCATATCGATCAACCTTGAAGGTCTTTTCGTGACGAGCGATCACGTGAAAAGGGCCTTTGTAAGGTTGTTGCCAAGGTTTGCGTACCGAATCTACTTGTACAAAAACATGTGAACAGGTAGATAACTCTCGAGGGAGAGCGACCTGTCGACGTTGTATTCGAGTTGACACCGGAGACAGCGTTCGCATAAATGCAGACAGTCGATGGACGTAGTCTGATTTACCGAAATTAGGTCTGCTCCGTGGTGTGA